CACGGGCCTTTTTAGGCGGTGCCATGCCAAAAAGGAGAGTACATGCATGCATCCCAACAATGTCATGAGGTGGCCATGTCACCTCCATGTGCATATGTTTAGTATATGGGCTCCACGGAATATTTTCACATCACTTCAAATATACTAATCTGTCCATATATCTCTGGTTCCATCTTGAATAATTTATCTGATTTATATCTTGGGCCAGATAAAATTGGGCTTTCTTGTACTGTTCAAATGATATTGGATTAGGAAAAATCCCTAATCCATCAAAAGGTATTTTTAATAAATTATGAGATTACATCATTTTTTTCTATTCTATAATAATAATAATAATAATAATGCGGAGTAATAACAATAGCAACAATAATAAAATGAAAAATATAGCTTTCAAAGAGAAAATGAAACATATATGTAAATAATTTTTTAAAATCATTATGGGAAAAAACTATAAGAAGTTAGAAGAAAATGAAACAAGTTTTAAAAAAAAGCTTAAAAAGTTTTGACTCCAATGTAATGGGATGACCTGGACGGTTTGTAACGATGTTCCGTTTGTAAAATGGACGGTTACTATCCCTCCTAACCCCCCGATAAACCCCCAGCCCGCCCTGCTCCGAACCCACTGCACCGCCACATCTCCTTCAATTGCATCTCCCAAGTTCAGTTACGTTGGCTTTGGAGTCAAAATTTAACTTGTTGAATCTAACGCAAGTTAAATACTAAAGCTTTACCCAAATATTAGATTAATTTTTTCTAATAAAACTTTGTGAATGAATGAGAGTGCTCTTAGGATCCGTTTGGTACACGGAATTGATGGAATTGGAATTGAAATTCCATGGGATACAATTCCATAGAATTGAATTCTGCCAATTTTAATTTATTTTTTGCACTATCAAATTCAAATTCACACAATTTTTGTACTACCAAACACCAGAATTGGAATTGAAGCACTCAATTCCAATTCCATAGTTTGAATTCTGTATACCAAACGGGGCCTTAGAATTTTCAGTAATTTAGGAATAAATTCAGCTCGCCCATTAAACAATTCCCAAAATTTTCGTCCTTTGACCAAGAAATTGTTAGATTAATTTACCCGGAGCTAAGTACATCATTATATTTGCTAACATTATTGGAGCATAAAGTAGATTTATGAACAACTTATTCAACAAAGTTAAAAGAAAAATCCTTCACTGTAATTTACTTTCTCGATCTATTTTTATTTAATCTTTTCATTTCATATTAGTTATAATGATATTTGATTGAAACTATTTTTTTCATTTAGTTAATTATTTTTTAAAGTTAGTTTAAAGATTCATGCATTTCAAAATAGCTTAAAAGGTCATATAAAACAAAAAAAGGCATAATGACTATATAATTTTATTTAATGATTAATGAAAAAATGTTTAACAAAGACTCTTTGTCGAAGGATTTTAGAGTAAAATGTATTTCTGAATCGAACCCTATACGTATGGAGCTTATGGAAAAAAAATGGGAAAATAAAAAATTGTAAAATTTAACAAAAACTTTTTTGGAGTATTAGTTTCTAACAAAAACTTTTTTGAAGTCTCTTTGTAAAGCAATAAAAATAAAAAATTGTAAAATTTAAAAAATACAATATAAAAAATTTATATTCCCCCCGTTCTCAAAAACACTTCCTCTTTCATTTTTTCCACTTCCAACAAAACACTTTCCCTTTCTATTAAAAAACCACTTTTACCCTTACTTTTTCATACCGTACCCTACCTATCACATCATACTTTTTCTCTAATAATCTATCCATCATCTTACTTTTACCCATCACATCAGGGGCAAAATTGGAAATCAACTGTAGTATAATTTAACACTTCCTTATTTTTGCCCCAAATCAAAATGGGAAGTCTTTTTGCAAACGAAGGGAGTATATGATAAAAAATAAAACTTGTTCCTTCAAGATTGTCCTCTCATTTAACCATCTTATTACATCTCATTTAAAATTTCTATATTATTATTTCTATGAATTATATGAAAGTGCAATATTTTAATGCTTTAAATATTTATTTAAATTATGTTTTAGTTTTATTTTAGTTATTTGTCTTAAATTTTTACAGCCAAATATAAAAAAACAAGTATTGCATTTATATTTTGTTGCAAATAAAGTTTATGTTAAAAAGTATCTCACATCAAAAAAGTGAAAAAAAATAATGGGTATATAAACTCTCAAGTTGAAATAAGTAATTGATTGAATATAATAATTTAATATTGTTCAACTTAAGTGTTTTGTGGCCCAATCCAGTATCCCTGCCTCATTCTAAATTCTATCCTGGTATTTGGTGATAGAATGTCAAGCGGCTTGTGATCCTTTGAGTGTTGGTGCACAAAAAATTGAGGAGATTGGATCAATTTGCAAGTGATCAAATGGTTAGATTCAAAATAATTCGGTTATCTATTTGAAGGAAAGTGTTAAAGCGTATCCCATATCGAAAAAACGAGAAAAATATGTATATAGGTACTTGAGTTGAACTAAAATATCAATTTAATTCAATTTTTAATGTTGTTCAACCCAACCATTTTATGACCTAAGCTTATATATGTGTGTGTGTGTTACTAGTGTGTTTGGGGCATTTACGGTGTCCCATTTGTAAAAATGATACTCCCTCTGTCCACCATAGATCTTCCCAATAGCCATTTTTCTTTGTCCACAATAGATCTTCTCATTTCATTTTTTAACAAGTAAAATACCACAACTACCCTCACTTACTTTATTTATTACACCTCACCCACCTCATTTAATACACTCCACCCATTTTTCATTAAGGGTATTATGGTAAACTTTCACCTTTTTTCAACTCTCCTTAAAAATCACCAAAAGTCAAATGAGAACATCTTAGGCGGACGGAGGGAGTAGTTTTTATTCTCCTAATCCTCACCTAAACCCCCACTCCTACCCCTCACCCGAGACTTCTAATACATTTAATGTATTAGTATTTTTTTAATTAATGTCATGGAGAAAAGTTGTCATATTTTTTTATTTTTTAAGTTAATATTCTCTTTATCATAGAATTCATAATCCATTTTTTCTTCATCGTCCAACATTGGTCTTTTCTTTTTTTTAAGTTCATGAAGTCCAATCCAATGAGATATGGACATATCTAGAAAGTTTAACATGATTAACGGCTTAATACAACAGTTTAGCCTACTAAAGACGAAGCCCAATCGGTGGATGCGGGATCAGCCCAAAACACTTTTGTCATGATAGGGAATAGAATCGTAAATGAATCGAACAATTTTGATTCAACTCGTGATTTGTATTCATTTGTTTTGAATCTTTGAAAATTTGAATCATTTAGGAATATAAATAGTATTGTTATTCGTTACATTAACAAATACAAATATGAATACATCCATATTCGATTTAGTTCTTAAACGAATATATTTGAAAAGATGAGTCAAAATAGTACTCCGTAAATATTAAAAAATAAATAGAGAATTTACTATTACATAGAAATCAAATGTATGTTTACATTTTTATCTTCAATATGTAAATTTTGAGTTTATAATTTTTCCCTCAATAACAAGTTTTAAACTATATTCATAAAAAGGGTTTTTGGAAAAAATATTTTACTCCAAAAAAATTAAATATTTATAAGATGTTTTAAAATATTAAAAAGTGAATAGTTTGATCCGAAACCAATATTTTTTAACAAATCGAATACAAATGTCCTGAAATTTTCGAACCAAATACGAACCCAAATATTATCTAAAATTGCTGTGGAAGTAAAGTATTTATTTGGTTACATCAGAAAATCCATATATTAGAGCAAAGCCTGACTCCCCCGGCCTCATCAACTTCTTACATAGTTGGTTTCAACGGCAGAAGACGACACCTAATCTGACAATTTCGACAGCAGAGGTGGTTGACAATGATTACAGTTTTCTTGAACTATATCGAAAGAGATGAAGATTATGAACAGAAGCCCAGTCCGGCGACCACATATACTCCTAGAGGCATAATTAACATTGCACAATGCTTCAAGAAACCAGATTAGACGTCGACTCGAAAGAGCAGGGAGTAAAGATTTAGCAGTTAAACTAATCATACCCGAGTCAAAGACTCAGACAACTATAATTAAAATAATAATATTCCATGTGCAAATTATATTACGAAATATTCTTAATCAATAAAAGTATTTTACTTTGTATTTTTTCAATTATCCATTTAGTTTTCAATGTTGTTGCATATGTATTTTTACAGAATATCTTTGAGATCGATGGAGTATATGTCAATTTTTAATAAAAAGAATTTTGAATTTTTTGAAACATGACTAAAAAAATTAGAAAAGAAATTAAAAGAGCTTTTCTAATAAAAAGAAACAAAGAAATGAAAAAAAAGTGTTAAAAAGGGGGGAAAACAAAAAAAATGAATGAAAACTAAGTATGAGCTTTATTGTCCCCTGTGATTTGGAAAATACTCCCTCCGTCCCCAATTCGATTACAAATTACTGGTTACGCAGTAAAATTTCTTACTTTTGAAATCATTTTATTTACAAATCGGTATATAATAAGATATAAAAATTACACATTAAAAAACTACGCCAAAAGTTTTACAAAATAAGAGGTGACGAGAATATTTTATTTTATCAAATACCTAATGAAATCGCATAAACAAACAAAAGTTATCGAGAGGAGAGAGAAAAAAAATGTAATCTATTTAGGGACGGAAAGAGTATGAAGTAATGGCCTTTTTTGCCAGAAGATGACCAGAAAGTGATCGGAAAAGGTCAGAATGGACTGTGGGTGCAATGCTTTAAAATATCAAGATATTAGAAATACTTTATAAATTTTGAAAAAATCAAAGAGATATTGATGTCAATTTTCTAAACTAAGAGAGGACAAGGGAGCAATTTGGTCATTAATATAAAACCTTACTAAAAAGTTGTCCCTCCTACCCTTGTTTCTCCAATCTCCATTCCCATCATCTCATTACCAAGAAATTTTCTGCGGTCCAAACTAAATCAATTTAAGACACCCATGAAATTCTCCCTCCTAAAAGTTCCGCCCCCGCCTGATAATTTTCTCTTTCTCTGCAATCAATCTCCTCCACCGCGGCAGCCCTCGAATATCTTGGTTTTCCGGCGTTGTTCCCGGCCGCCGACAGCCACCCCAGTTATTACTATTATTATTCCATATACCGGTAGAATATTGCGGAATCCGGCCGTCGCGATCGGACTCCGCCATGGAAGATGGATAGATTATTCTCAAGGCCGGCATCACGCCTCCGCCAATTCCGGCGATCTCTGAAATCCCCAGCGGCGGCCCCGACGGCGGCGGGCTCCCCGGACGAGCCCCACGAGCCCCAATGGCGGGACCGGATCTTCGACCCCAGCAGCCACGTCGTCAACCTGTGGAACCACTTCTTCCTCGTCACCTGCCTCGTTTCCCTCTCCATAGATCCCCTCTATTTCTACCTTCCTTACGTCGGCGGCAAGGCCTGCATGTCGACCGACAACGGCGCCTCCGTCGCCATCACCTACTTCCGCACCCTCACCGACTTCTTCTACGTCCTCCATATGCTGTTGAAATTCCGCACCGCCTTCGTCGCCCCTAGTTCTAGGGTTTTCGGGCGGGGCGAGCTCGTGTTGGATTCCAGAGAGATCGCGATGAGATATCTCAAATCGGATTTCATAATTGATTTCGCAGCCACTCTCCCTTTGCCCCAGGCAATAATTCTCCCCAATCTAGTAAACGTATATTGCTAATTAAGGAATTGAAGCCATTGTTTCTGACTGTATTATCATCATTACTTCTGTTGCAGATTGTGATATGGTATGTGATTCCGGCAACGAAGGGGACAAACGGGTCGGGTCACGACAACAACACCATAGCCCTGATCGTCCTCATTCAATATCTTCCACGGCTTCTGGTCAGCATTCCATTGAACCAGAGGATTATCAAAACAACAGGTTTTATTGCTAAGACAGCTTGGGCTGGAGCTGCATATAACCTCATCCTCTTCATGTTAGCCAGCCATGTAAGTTCATCTTCCTCACTCACTTACAACTCTGTTCTTTCCTTCATGTTACCCAGTACTGAATAGTGACTCTTTTAGCCCCCCCCCCCATTAGAATAATGAGCTTGGCATCCCAAACGGCGCAGGTTCTAGGGGCTTCATGGTACCTGTCTTCTATAGGACGGCAGCATTCCTGCTGGACAATGCAGTGTGAGATCGAGCGCAATGCCGTTCCCCCATGCATACCCAGTTTTCTTGACTGTGAGAGCTTGAATACGCATAAGCTTGAGAGGGAGTATTGGCTGAACACCACTTCTTTGCTCATGCGTTGCGATCCCAAAAATGACGATTCTNATAATGAGCTTGGCATCCCAAACGGCGCAGGTTCTAGGGGCTTCATGGTACCTGTCTTCTATAGGACGGCAGCATTCCTGCTGGACAATGCAGTGTGAGATCGAGCGCAATGCCGTTCCCCCATGCATACCCAGTTTTCTTGACTGTGAGAGCTTGAATACGCATAAGCTTGAGAGGGAGTATTGGCTGAACACCACTTCTTTGCTCATGCGTTGCGATCCCAAAAATGACGATTCTGATTTCAAGTTTGGAATGTTTGCCGATGCTTTCACTAGTGAAGTGGCTTCTTCTAGTTTCATTGAGAAGTATCTCTATTGCCTCTGGTGGGGCCTAAGAAATTTGAGGTTTTTTTAGCTTCATCTCTATAACATTTTCTTGATTTATTACGTCTTCACAACGATCACTTCATACATAATGTAGTCCACTATGCTTTGAAGCATTCAAGGTCTAGATTAAGAAAGCTCTATAACTATAAATGTATTCGAATAATGTTGTGTGCAGTTCATATGGACAGAATCTGATGACTAGCACTTACGTTGGGGAAACAGTCTTCTGCATTTCCGTGTGTATCATTGGTTTAATTCTATTTTCTCATTTGATTGGAAATATGCAGGTAATTAAGCATTGCTCTTCATGTTCTTATAACTATGCAGTACCTTCTTGCATGCAAATACTATTTTCCTCTCTTCTTAAATGCAATAATAATGAAAACATTTGTCATATATATATGAAGACTTACCTGCAATCTCTGACGGTGAGACTGGAGGAATGGAGGATAAGGAGAAGAGATACAGAAGAATGGATGAGGCATAGGCAATTGCCTGCAGATCTCCAGAGACGGGTTCGTCAATTCGAGCAGTACAAATGGCTGGCGACAAGAGGAGTGAAGGAAGAAACCATCCTGGAATCATTGCCCCTTGATATACGCCGTGAGATCAAGAGACATCTTTGTCTCAACCTTGTCCGCAGGGTATGTATGTACGTAGTCTTTCTTCTACACTAATAGGACATGATCATCCTTAGATAGGTAGTTAGGCCTCTCTCGAATTAGATTCAACCCAAAAGTACTGATTTTCTGGCATGCAGGTCCCATTCTTCGCACAGATGGATGACCAATTACTGGATGCCATCTGCGAGCGTCTGGTCTCATCTCTGAGCACGAAAGACACGTACATTGTGCGGGAGGGGGATCCAGTGAGCGAGATGCTTTTCATCATCAGAGGCCAACTCCAAAGCTCCACCACAAATGGAGGAAGATCTGGGTTCTTCAACACCATCATCCTCAGACCAGGAGACTTCTGTGGGGAAGAACTACTCACCTGGGCTCTTGTCCCAAACTCCTCTCTGAACCTGCCTTCTTCAACCCGCACCGTGCGGGCGCGCTGCGAAGTAGAGGCATTCGCGCTTCGTGCAGAAGACCTGAAGTTCTTCGCGGTCCAGTTCAAGCACCTTCACAGCAAGAGGCTGCAGCATGCTTTCAGGTATAAACAAAAACTCGTAACCGAACCGAATAGTTTTGACTCGATTGGTCATTTGTGTTCTGATACTAGAACCTTACTGTCAGGCACTACTCCCAACAGTGGAGGACATGGGGTGCATGTTACATACAGGCGGCATGGAGAAGGTACAAAAAGAAGAAGTTGGCCAAGGAGTTGTCTGTACAGGAGAGGGAGTATTATCATTATGTGCCCATTGAAGATGAAGGAGATGATGGGCAGTCATCAGGTGGTGATGAAGACGGCGGGGACAACGCGCAGCACCTTGGAGCCACAATCTTGGCCTCCAAGTTTGCTGCAAATACAAGAAGAGTTCAAAAGGTTAAGGTGGCTGAGCCTGCCCCTTCTAGCTTGAACATGCCACAGCTGTGCAAGCCAGAAGAGCCTGATTTCTCTTTAGAATGAATGATACAACAATCACAACCACTAAGGTCCTACAAGCCATGTTTCCACCACAGAGATGAACCCTCACTTCTTTTTTTTTCTTTGGTTAGATCTAACTAGGCTTTGGTTGAGTCTTTTTGTATTTAATAGGCAAAGGTATTTTGATTAGGAAGAATAGAAGATGATGTTATACAACATGGGTCTCTTGCTCCTACCTTGCTGGAACAGTTCAAAAATGTTTTTTTTACTATCACTTCAAAAGTTTTTCTTTGTTATATTGATATCATGATCGAGTAACATTAGATTTCTAAACTCTTGTTCAGCCTTAAGAATTTAATATTAGACTCCAAAATTCACACTACCAAATTAATCTTCTCAATTAATATTACGGTCTCGCGATAATTTATATTTGTATGTATGTTTTTGCAAAAGTTTAGAAAAAATTTAAAATAGTAAAATGTTGAGGTGAAAGAGTGAGTGTGAGGACTCCCTCCACATGGGATGATATTTTTTTCTCTCCTCTCGATAACTTTTGTTTGTTTATGCGATTTCATTAAGTATTTCATAAAATAAAATAAAATATTCTTGTCACCTCTGGTTTTGTAGAACTTTTGACGTAGTTTTTTAATATATAATTTTTATATCTTATTGATATACCAATTTGTAAATAAAATAATTTCAAAAAATGGGAAATTTTTCCCCGTAATTCGTAATTTGTAATCAAATTGGGGAGGGAGAGCAGAAAACAAATTAGTAAAAGATGAGAAAAAGATTGTGGGGTTATGATTTTTTATACGGTTTATTATCATTTTCCATTCTTTTTTTGAAAAAGGTTGTGGGGTTATCATTATTGAGACGGTTCATCTCTTCATTTTTTAAAAAATATCTTACGGAGTATTTGCGAAAAGATTGTGCGGTTATAATTTATTAATCAGTGCCTATTTGCATTTGAGAAAAAAACATGTTAAAAGCGAAATGACCGGAGAGGATGGAGAGTATAAATGCATGGAACATGTTCACAGTTTTCCTATCGAATCAACTAACAATAGTTGCCCCATGAGTAAAGACCCCACGGGTTATGGGACGTGAGGAGGGGCTTGACCACGCCTCTATCGCGCCCCTCTCACAAAACGCAATAAGCGTGAGTGGGCATTGCCCAAATGGCTTAACCACCGTCACGTAGCGATGACTTCTTCCTCCCCCAATTTTTTTTTAAAATTCAACTAATCAAAATTTAATATGCATTTGCTTCGCATCACATTTCTTCATATTCAGCATAACACACATTTTTTATCACTCCATATTAAAGTGACAAATCGGTCGGTCAGGTTGGATTCGGATTTAGATTATTTTGAGTTCGGGCCAATTTTGATTTGAGTTGAGAGTTGTATGTTTATGACCCAGTGTCATCGAGTTCGAATTGACCCAACAGGTTATGAATTTGGTTTTTAAAGTTTTTAAATTCATATATAATCTGCATTTCACATTAAATAAAAATAAAATATAAAAAAATATGTATTACATCTATTATGTTATTTTATTTTAGATTCTAAAGTAATTTTTAGGAATATAAATCAATATAAAGAAATAAAAAATGCACAATTTTTGGAAAAAAATAAAATAATTATGCAATATCACTAAAATTGTGTCCGAAAATATAAATTTATACACTAAAAAACGAGTAGTAAAAAAAAATACTCCATCCGTCCATGAGTATTTGTCCATTTTTTATTTTTTTCAATCAGAATTGGTAAGCTTGGCCTTAAATTAAATAAAAATGATACTCCATATTAGATATTGACACAAAAATAATTTTATTGGATTTATTATATCAAATATTTTTAAACTCCCCCTAATCTTCCTTGTAAACTCCCCCACCCTCCCCTGAATCGAACACATTCTCCACCCCCTTCAATTACACCCCCAAGTTAATTTTGATTTTGGAATCCAATTAATGGGTGCGATTCGGGCGGGTGAGGAGGTTACCCTAGTGCTACTATATTAGTGAGAGCCTTTAAGAAATCATTAAAACGTATTTATTTCAAATATAAAAGAATCAAAACATAAAAAATAAAACATAATAAAATAAACAAAGTAAAAAAACAAAGAAAATATAAAAAATTGTGACACTTCCTAGTCAATAAAAAAATGTCAATAAACAAACACCAACTACTGAAGTAGAAATTCAAACGTGTAGATTGAGAATCACACAATAACACACGTCATCAAAAATTCAAAACCACTCTGAAAAAAATAAATTGACATTTTTCGCACCGTAGCCTTCCGTGTATTAGGTATATATCCAGTCTTCGCCCTTTTTTGTAACTTTTCCAAACACGCCGTTAAAGTTTGCCCCCATTAATGTTGCCAGAACCTTCCATTATTATTATTATGAACTCTGTGCAAATAAATTCTTCAACTCATCGGAGTTGATTTTGGGGATTTTTTGGAGGTCTGTTAATGGCGGATAAAGTGAAGCAGATTCTGGCAAAGCCGATCAAGTTGGCGGACCAGGTGAGCAAGGCTGCGGAGGAGGCGTGCTCGTTCAAGCAGGATTGCGCCGAGCTGAAGTCCAGGACGGAGAAGCTCGCGGCGCTTCTCCGCCAGGCCGCGCGGACCAGCAGCGATCTCTACGAGCGGCCGACGCGCCGGATCGTCGACGACACCGGCCAGGTCCTGGAGAAGGCTCTGGCCATAGCCCTCAAGTGTCGCGCCCACGGCGTCGTCAAGCGCGTCTTCACCATCATCTCCGCCGCCTCCTTCCGGAAGATGCAGTCGCAGCTGGACAACTCGATCGGCGACGTTTCGTGGCTCCTCCGCGTCTCCGCCTCCGCCGACGAGCGCGTCGGCGAGCACCTCGGTCTCCCGCCAATCGCCGCCAACGAGCCGATCCTCTGCCTCATATGGGAGCAGATCGCGATCCTCCACACCGGCTCGGCCGACGACAAGTCCGACGCCGCGGCGTCGCTGGTCTCCCTCGCTCGCGACAACGACCGTTACGGGAAGCTGATCGTGGAGGAAGGCGGAGTGGGCCCGCTTCTGAAGCTCCTGAAGGAAGGCAAAGTAGAAGGCCAGGAGAACGCCGCTCGAGCAATCGGGCTGCTGGGACGAGATCCGGCCATCGTCGAGCACATGGTTCACGCCGGCGTCTGCCAGGTGTTTGATAAAATGCTCCAAGAAGGGCCAATGAAAGTTCAAGCCGTTTTAGCCTGGGCTATATCAGAACTAGCTTCCCATTTCCCTAAATGCCAAGATCTCTTTGCCCAGAACAATGTAGTCCGCTTACTGGTTGGCCATATCGCCTTCGATACCGTCTTGAATCACAGCAAGTATGCCATTCCCAGCAAGGCGACTTCCATTCACGCTCTGGTTTTAGCCAGCAATGAAAATTCTCTCAACAAAAACAATGCCCGGATCAACGACAATGGTGATGAAGACCATAAAAGCAGAATTGCTCATCCCATGGAGAACAACAGGAAACAAACCCAGAATCATAATGTCGTCATGAATACGTTGGCAATGAGAAACACGGCTAAGAAAGTTCATTTCAGCAGTCATCATCATTACAGTCATGCCAGGGAGCTTGAAGATCCGGCAACGAAGGCTTATATGAAGGCGATGGCGGCAAGAGCATTGTGGCACCTATGCAAAGACAATCCCCAAATTTGCCATAGCATAACGGAGTCTAGAGCTATGTTATGCTTCGCGGCCCTTTTGGAGAAAGGGCCGGATGACGTCCAGTACAACTCTGCCATGGTTGTGATGGAGATCACAGCTGTGGCAGAAAAGGACGCCGACCTGAGAAGATCGGCGTTCAAGCCGAGCTCTCCAGCATGCAAGGCGGTCGTCGACCAGATGCTGAGAATCATCGAGGAACCCGTCCCGAATCTCCTCGTGCCTTGCGTCAGGACGATCGGGAATCTCGCGAGGACGTTCCGGTCGACCGAGACGAGGATGATAAGCCCCCTAGTGAAGCTTCTAGAAGATCAAGAAACCGAGGTTTCCAACCATGCCGCGGTTTCTCTCGTGAAGTTTGCGTGCACGGAGAACTACCTTCACATGGATCACTCCAAGGCGATCATAGCGTCGGGCGGGGCGAAACACCTGGTTCAGCTCGTCTACTTTGGCGGGCCCGCGGTCCGGGGACCTGCATTGGCGCTGCTTTGCTACATCGCCAAGCACGTCCCGGACTGCGAAGAACTTGCCAAGGCAGAAGTTCTAATGGTTCTCGAGTGGGTGGCAAAGCAGCAGGGTTTCTTGGTTCAAGATGAGAAGGTGGAGACATTGTTGCAAGAAGCTAAGAGTAGGGTGGAACTTTATCAGTCCAAGGGCGTATCAGGGTTTGCACACTACTAGGAAATTTTTGAACATTTTTTTACCTCAAGCTTTGAAAAATGTTTTTTTCTTCAATTAAGGTTCCTCATTGAATGGTCATAGATTAAATTTAAGAAGAATTTACCTAAATAGCACTAAAACATAATGATTTTTTCTAAATAGCATTATTTTTTTTTCAATGTAGCACTTTTAGTCATTTTTTGTCATTTTAGTCAAATAAAGTTACGTCACTAGGACCCTATGCAGTAGCTTTATAAGCATTTTTGGTTTATAAGCATTTTTGATTCGGCCAAGGAGATGGGGGCGAGAGAAAATAGAGAGAAGAAGGCGAAGAAACGAGAGGGGAGAAGAAAATAGAGCACAGGGGCAAAAATGTCAAGAACACATTGTGATGCACAAGAATAGGACCTTATAGACCTCACATCCATGTAAAAACAAAAATTAGTCTCATTCATGTAAACTAACAATAATTTAGTGTTATCTTGAGTAATTTTCTCTTATATTTTACTTAAGTTTTAATAACAAAATTTAACATTTACAAGCATACGTTCTTTTAGTTTTATAAAAATAAAAAATAAATTGATGGGATAAATGCCATATTTCCATGAAGTTGAATTTGATAAATAAATTTATACTCTGTAATGAATAAACGCTTTGTGTTCATTATTTTCTCCATCTCATTTTGTATTGTTTGTTTTCTTGTTTTATTCGATCCAGATAAATTTGTGTGTATTTTATAAAAGATAATATGTGGTTTATGTGGAGTATTATTTCTCTTTTTCTGTACAAATAAATGCTAGCCACAATTTTAGTTTATTAATTAATCATTTTCCATATTTAGTAAACAAATTATAATGAACTATGTAAAATTCTCTCTCAATAGCTTGTTAACATTATTGATATTAACAAACCATAAAGCCTTCTAAAGCTAATTTTTGAAACTCACTACTTAAATATCACTTGTTCACCTTTCCAATTTTAGTGAATAAATTATGAGGTTTACCTAAAATTTCTTTAGATACCTCAACACTTAGGCCTTCTAAACAACTTTTTTAATTAACGTTAGCATTTCAAATAAAATTTCTTAAGTACAAATTAACTTTAAAATTATTACAGCTAAATATTGTCATTAGATAGACTATTCAAAATGCTAAAATTATTTCCAAACATAACCTCGTTTGAAAATGAGACTTCTAAAAACTCAAAAACCTAAATTAAAAAGGAGTAAACAAATCTTAGAATATGTGCAATCTTAGGTCTGTGACGCAAAAAAAAAAGTGTATAATTCACTTATTTCTCATGCCTCTTGTAATTAATTATTAAATGGAAAAGTACCCAATAAATGTTTAATTATTTATTAAATTATTATTCAACTTTGAAGGATACACACAATGTTGAACAACAAAATGACATGATTGCCCACATCTCCCACTAACATACACACAAAACACTCCCAATGGATATATGATGTTTTTTTTCTCTTTTTCTTTCAAACCCAACTAACTTTAGAGCCTTTTTTTGCATCTTTGTATCTTCTTCAATGGCAAATGCAGATTGACAAAGCATAGCCATATCCTCTCAAGAACGAAACTCCGCTAGTAGACGGGACACAAACGCACGCTTCTTCTATTCGGTTTAAGACTCCGTTTGGATTGAGTGTCGGGAGGAGTAAAAGAGAAAAAGAGTGACATGTACACTTCCAAACAAGGTTCCTTTTGCGTACTCTTGTTTGCTCTTACCTTTCAAACTTACTCCTCGTCCAAACGGAGCCTTAGTGTCGTGGGCCTGGCCTTGAAGATGGGCTCGCAACGTTCCGAGAGCCCAGACTAGCAGTCCTTAAAAGCTTGCGGAATTCCAACAAGCTTATCCTCCCGTCTTTGTCGATGTCCGCTTCTTCCAAGAGTGGGTCTATGGAGCCTCTTAATCCAGTGTGCTGCAACAAATCAAAGTCATTTTATTTATTTATTCATGTCATTTTATTTGCTACTGAGTAATATATTTTCATGCCATTTTAATTAACTGTACTACGTAAAGAAAGAAATTCATGCATATGAAAATAAAAATTAAAAAATAACCATATTTTTTCTAAAATTATCATTCAAGCATACGGATAATGGACTAACAGAAACCACCTCTCTTTCATTTTCTGAGAAATAAGAAAACCCCATATTCTGTTCAGTTTCTTTTCCTTTTCCTAGTAATTTTTTAATGATTCAAACGTGCCCTTAGGGTCCGTTTGGAACCTGAAAAAAATACTAAGGGAAGAAAAAGGGGTGGAAACGATTCGACCATAGTACAAATTTTGATGGGAAGAAGTGACATGACATAAAAGATACCACCTTTGTCCGATAATATTCCTCTGGACAAATTTTGATCATCAATTAAATAAAAATTATATTGCATATTAGTCGATAAATTATTTCATTAGTTTTATTTTACAGAAGACTTTCAAAAAAATATTACTCCGTATTATATAATATGCAATGCAAATTTAATGTAATTGACAACTAAAGTGCGTCTATTTTCTAATCTATTACATTCTCCAAGCTCAAAGACTTTACACACCATTTTTCCCTGTCCCTAACATACACACAGCCGCGCCATATTTATATTTATTTAGACATGGTTCAACCCAAAATGCTAGTTAAAGTGGAAAAAAACAAGGAAAGAATAGGCTGATTGACCTCTTGTATCAATAAATACCACTTCATCTTTGTATATTGTTTACGATTTATTTTTACGATCAAATATCTTTATAGTTGATTAAAGTCGAAGTGGGAAGAAAAAAACAAGAAAAGAATGGGCTGACCATTTTAAGTTCATCTGAAGTAATATATCCATCTCCATCAATGTCAAATTTCTGAAAAGCAGCTTGTGATCTCTGCTCCCACTTTTCTGAGTTGTGTTCTTCCATCTGATTCACGTGTAAAGTCGCTGCAACAAACTCCTGGAAATCCACAAGCCCGTCCGTGTTACTGTCGATCTATCACCACCAACAAAATTGAACCATTAATAAACTACGTGAAAATTCAAAATGAAGGTTCTTGAATTGAAATAATCATGGGTTATTTTGACACCGGATGGGGCCCAGCCCAGAATCGTTCCTACCCACGCGTAAACCCTCCATCCTCCCTATGGGTTACAGCCCACAACCCCCCACCCCCAAAGACCCCCTATGGGTGACAATCCATTGCCAAAGAGGGCTAGATGGGTTAGGATTTGTGGGAGCTTAGGGAGTAGGAACCACTTCTGTCCTTGGTGTCAAACGGATCACCATAAGAAGCATCAAATGGACTGGTGTGGTCGTTGGTGTCAAAAGAACCAGACTCAATAAATAATAATAATTAACAAAAAGAAGAAGGTACCGCTTGAAGAATCTCAAGAACACGTGACTCTTTCATCTTCCAAGGAAGATCCTTAGCGAGAGCCTGCAATAAAGGAAACGATGTTTCATCCCCACCAAAAAAGAAGATTTTTTCCCCACTTTTGGACCAACTACTAGCTCATTCCCACTTGTAGTCCCCAACTTTCATATTTTTTTTCACTTTGGCGCACAAAAATCTTTTCTTTTTCTTTGCAGTTTTTGGTCCTTTCCGGTCACTTATCTAGAAAAAAACAACATAAATAAGTTTAATCCATAATTGTGCAACAAAGTTCAAAAGGTGGAAATGACTTTAGAGTCGTCGGACCAAAAATGGAATTTAAAATTGAATTAATAGAAACAAGCATCACAAACACGGCGTTAACAAGGCATTGCATGATATAATGAGGGAGGACCGTGATAGGGGCACCCCCACCTCACAGACACCCATTACTGTTTTTGTGAGATGTTTGGGGTGAAAGGTGGAGTGAGAGTTGGGGTGACTTTAGCATTTTCCTAATAAGGAAATATACCAGTCTCATTTCTTCAAGAGTAATTACACCATTTTTATCAACATCAATGGCAGAAAATTGATCTTTGAGGTCAGCCAACTCCTCCTCGTGAAGTGTGCCCGCTAATGCCTGCAATATGATCAGACATTCTGTAAATAGAAAAACAAAAACAAAAAAAAAGTGTAAAAAGAAGTAAAAGACTAAAAAAATTGTACTTTGAGTCCCTCACTTGTTTGACAATGTGTAATGTACAGTACTTGCCTTTCAGATTTTATAAACTTACTCCCTCAGTTATACTTATACTTGTCTCTCACATTATGATCACTATTTAGTACCCCCTCTATCCCATATAAAGGTTCCAAATATGCACAAGATTTCAATAGGATGGACTAATTGTATTGAAATTAAAACAATTTAGAGACTAGATTTACAAAAAAAGATGAAAGATTCTTTTAGGGACAGGAAGTACGTCTCAGATTACATAATATCACACGATTCGGGAACTACGATTGTGATTTCCCCAGAAAGATATGAAGATTACCCTCAACGCGAACTGCTTTAGATGGCCATACTTGACAAATTCGCGCATGTTTGACAGTACAGAAATGTCTAAAGGTATGTCAGATGCATTCCCACCTTCTCGGACCCATGGATGTGCTGCAAATGTTTTGAATATGTAAGTATGAAGTAATCCATTTTCATACCTCAAAGTTTCCTCCCTATTTTATTTCCCTAGCTTTATATGTGGATCCAAACATACCCTTAAAAGAGTGAAAAAAAAGAAGAAAATATTCAGTAACATAGTACTTACAAAGGGCCTGAGCAGCAGTGAGTCTGATACGAGGATCTTTCGCCAATAATTTCTTAACAAAATCTTTACCACTGTTGCTTATGCTTGGCCATGGCTTGCGTCGAAAATCGGGCTTATTTCTAAGGACCTAAGCATAAACAAAAGTTGCAAATTAGAACATGCACACATATACACAAGGGGGAACACACCATCTTTGAATATAGCATTGCATTTGAAATAAAAGAACAAATCCTATACCTCTTTGAAGATGCCATCTTCAGTCTTGTCCCAAAAGGGCCGCCGGCCACAGAGCAAAATATAGGTTATTACGCCGATGCTCCAAACATCTGATTCAGGGCCAGATCTACGCTTCAATACTTCAGGGGCAACATAATATGCACTACCAACAATATCTCTAAACTTCTTCCCTGCATTGATGATGATTTTTTATACCAAAAGATCATAGTTTTGGTTGTTTAGAATTACACTATAATATTTAACTATAAATACGAGCGAGAAAGACCAATCACTTCGACATCGAAATACCTGGTCGTATGAAATCTGAAAGACCAAAGTCGGTGGCTTTCAATGGAGAATCCGCTTTTGGTGATTTGAAAAGAAAATTCTACATTAAAGAAAAGTGTGTGAAGGAAGCAGAATATAAGGAAAGACCCCAATTAGGCTCAGTTTGGATTGTGTTAGGAGGGGTAAAGAGAGAAAGTAATGGTGAGTACTTTTCCTTACCCTATTGGGGTATGAGGGGGAGTAAGATGTACACTTCCAAACAAGGTTTCTTTGCTTACTCTTTTAGTCTTATTTACTATTTACCATTCAGGCATTCACACTTACTCTCCATCCAAACAGAGCCTTAGTATCAGTTTGGATGCAGGGTTTTGGAGGGCTAATTCTCTATCTTGATATACATTTGAGAATTTGTTTGTTAAAGATTCCATTCATCAAGAAATTTCCAAAACCCTCCATCCAAACTGATCCCTATGAAGGTATGAATGGATGATACCTCGGGTTTCATATCACGGTGCACCAAACCATGTAAATGACATTCTGCTGCAACTTTGAGCATCTGCCTCACTACAATTGCTGCATCCTTTTCCGTATAACGGCTGTCTTTTCTAATTACAGGAAACTATTTGTAAGTCCTATATGGATTATACATTTTAATCAGGAATTCATATAAGAGAAGAACACACACTGCAACCAAAGTGAGTGTTGAGGGGGGGAAAACTTACTTGGCCAAAATACGGTCCAGTAATTCTCCGCCTTCACATAACCTAAAAGAAAACAAGATTATTTTTAAATAATTTAATCAAACACTTGTAACTAAGTAGAGTAAATTGTAAGCAAAGAGACTTACTCCATTACAATATATACATGATTCTCATCCTCAAATGCGTTATGAAATTGAACCACATTTTCATGGCCAGCCAAGGCCTTCAATATTCTGACTTCGCGTCTGACATCCTCTACGGCTACGGGAAGAAGCATCTGTCATGACTCTCTGAATTTGTTAGAATAAGTTCCACCAAATTTTTTTATTAAAAGAGAAGGCGCAATCTAACTCAAAAACACATGTCATTAGGCATCATAGTTCAAACAGATGCAATTGACATTAAAAAATGCAATTGCGTAACAAAAACAACAGAAAGGGGAAAAAATCTAAACTTTATCCAAACAATCAAGCAGTAATCAAGTAGAGGGCATTTTCTACAGCTATAATTCACAGCTCAAAGGATTTAACAACAATATAACACTGCTCTGTCAAGAATATGCTCCAATATATTCTTAAAAAATAAGGTCAGATCAAATCAAATAAAAGCAAATACTATAAGAGAACAGGGAACAAAAAGAGGACCTTGTTCTTATCAATTCTCTTAACAGCAACACGATCTCCACTGGACTTGTCAGTGGCAACATAGGTGTACCCGAATTGGCCATGTCCCAGTAGCTTGCCAAGACTGTACCTTTCATCAAAATTCTTGTCATACCCAAAATCTGTTCTTTTCCCAAAAGCAACAACCCCACTCTTCCTGGGATTCTGCTGATTCCCCTCGCGCCCTTCCTTGCCGGCCTTGTGAGCAGAACAATGCGGCGGATTTGTGGCTGCAGCCTTGCGGATGTTCACGGCGGCGGCGGCGGAAGAAGTTGCGCGGCTGCTGTTAGAACCGCTGACTTTCGAAGTTGAAACGCAGCTACCCATTTCTCGGAATACGAGTAAATCCAAAGATCTGTCCTCGCAGTGACTCCGGAAAGGCTCAGGAAACTGCTGGTGGCGATACGCGGATACATGCAGGGAGAAGGGAAAAGGGGGGGAGATGGGGGAAATGAATATATACAGATCAGAGAAGAAAATGCGAGGGACAATTATGAGGAGAGAGATCTAGGGAGGAGGAAGGTTTGGTGTACGGAGGAGGAAGAAGAGAAGAAGGTGGGGGGGTTTGGCTATGGGGGTCAAAAATCAAGAAAGATGTTGGGAGGAAAGAGAACCCCTAAGGCCAGGGACTTCTGGGCGCAAGAAAACCTGTTCCCCCCAGGCCCCTTTTTGCTTCTTCCTTCCATTTTGAATTCTGAGCCATGCTAGGGCTACACCAAAAGATGTACCTCAAATGTACATTATCTCCTTCTTCAACATATATTTTTATTTGATTTTTATTTATTTATTTATTTTTAATTTTTTTTGCCTTTTTTAGTGGACAAGGAGGGGTGGGTGACATATGAGGTACACCTCAATTTTTTTGTCTTTTTTGGTGTATCCCTAGCATTTTTCTTGAATTTTTGGTGCTATTTTTGTGCTTTAAGTTAAGCCTCCCTAGGAATAGTTTTTTTGATTGGCGTTAGTGTTTAGATAAAAATTTAATGGTGCAGACTAATTTTAAAAACGCTAACGTTAAAGTTACCGTCGGATAACCTTTTCAAAATGCTAATGCTAATCTCTAACGCTGATGCCAAACGAGACCTTATGCATATTATTCTAAGTGTTTTGTAGGGTGAAATTTGTACTAAATATGATTGAAATACAAATCATTTTCCAAGATAAGATTTAAACTTTTTTATTCTTAAATAGTACTTAATAATGTCTATTGTTTGAGCCAATATTGAGATTGTGATTATGATAATTTTGGATGGGTAAGAATCACTAGATTAGGTCATATGATATTTAATCCGATCTACATTAAAAGAATAAATATAATTGATTATATAGTTCAACTCAAAATGTTATATATGAATTGATTTTTTACTTCAACTTTCGACGTGGGATACACTTTCCCTCAAATAAACAATCGGGTTATTTTAAATTTAAACGGTAGACTACTTGTAAATAGACTCTCTCCTCCTTGAAACAAATATTTAAAAATGCATCGATAACACTAGAAGGACTCCGAGTCGCTTGGTATCGACTACCCGACAAACAATCGGGTAAAATGGGCCACCGGTCGTTGGTTAAGTACTTCAATTCATACGTACAACTAGACTTCAATTACTTGGAATGCGAGAAATGAACGTATAAACAGATACAGTAATAACCAAAGTGGGCCAATACCTGCTTTGATACGCTAATAGAGTTTTGGATAGAATAAAAGTCACTTGATTTTGTCATTAAATATTTGGACTGAGCCACGTTAAAAAAAACCCACCTCTCCCCGCTCTTGTGAGAAATTTCCTCACTTTAGTGGCTGGAAATTTTCAAAGTTTACTTCCCTTTCTTTCTAATGTACAGCGCACACTTGCGCAGTTAATGTAGCCATTTGGAGGAAGGAGAATTTTACGGCACTTTGAGATAAATGTATACGCCTTGATAAGCTTAGCTTCCAAAAGGTCGTGTGTGTCTATATATATATATATATATATATATATATATATATATATATATATATATATATATATATATATATATATATATATATATAGTGTGTGTGTGTGTGTGGAATGGAATCATTTAAAAATTCCCTTAAAGAGTGTACTCAAAGTCTTCTTTGTAAATTGTTCTAAATTAAAATATCTCTTTTTCTTTTTTGTTGAAAGAATATCTGGGCTCTAATGCTCTATAGACCCTCATTCAATTCCTCTAGTACATTTTCTCCATTTTCACTTACACCCTCCCTAGTAATTATCTACTTTACTATTCACAAAAAAGTTAAATTATACTCCTTACCCCCATAAATATATCTCTCATTTCTATTACCAAGGTAAAAAATCAAATTTTTTCAATTCATTTTATTTACATATTGATATAGGATTAAAAAATACTCCGTAAAATTTATATATCAAAAAATTATATTAAAAGTTCTTCGAAATAAAAGGTGTTAAAAATATTTTATTTTATAAAATAACCAATGAAAACGTAAAAATAAACAGAGTTCCCGCGAGTGCTGAAAAAACAAATGTGAGATATATTTAGGGACGGAGGGAGTATTTGTTTTCTTGCAAGGTTCTTTTAATACTAATATCTAATATTAACAGATCGCATTCATTCATTTTCCCCTGGTACTACAAATGAAAAAATGATAGTTTCAACTCCTCAAACCCCTACAATGAACTCCCTACCGCACCCTGATCCCAGCTCGAATCCTACGTCCAAACCCTAGACCCCCCATATTACCTCCTCGAAATGTGTGGCTATTTGCATTGCATAATAGCCACACATTTTGAGGGAGAATGAGGGGGGTATGGAGTTGGGGCGCAGGGTCAGACTAGGGTAGGGTGCGGTGGGGGTTTAAGGAGGGACGGGTTAGAAGGCATAAGAACCATTAATTTTTCAAACGGAGCACCAAAAGAGCTTCAAACGAGCGAGTGTTATCCGTTGACACTGAATACCAGTTTCAAGAGAACCTAACTTGCCGTTGTTTTCTTTATATATTTTCATTTTCTTTGATTATGTAATAAAATAAAATAGTGTTGTCCATATATATATTTGTTTCATACCCCGATTATAATTTTTTATATAAATGTTACATATAAAAATTTTATTTATTAAATTTACACCAATTTTTATATAAATTGAATTGAAAAGTAACTTCATTCAAAGATCCATCTTAATACGATAGTATAACATTCGTAATGATTATGGGAGAAAGAGAGGATTTTGCAAGGAATAAGATTTTTAATCTATCATAAATAATGATAGATACATTGGGATCGATCCAAATAAAAAAAAGTTTTTTCATGACTATATTATTACGGAGTATAAATTAATAATATAAGCAACATTTGGTGAAAAATATTTAGAGTCATACCTTTCTGGGAACAATATTTTCAATTGCCATTAATATTATGAATAAATTTTTAATGATATTTGATTAATTTTGAAAATGTTAACGTTTAACAATACCTCTAATTATTATTTTTTTAATTATAAAAGTAAACTTTGAAATTTTGGTCAAATACACTATATATATATATATATATATATATATATATATATATATAAAATCCACTAAGAGAAACGTGTACACCTAGTACTATACTCCCTCCGTCCCAAAATATTTGTTACACTTGCTTTTTCAGAAGTTGCAGAAATTTTTGTTTATTTCTACCTTTTTATTGGTTATTTGATAAAATAAAATATTTCTGAAACCTCTTATTTCGAAAAACTTTTCATATAGTTTTTTGATATGTAAAATTTATTTTTTGTTTCTATACAAATATGTATATAAAATGAATTGAAAAAACTTGATATTTTGCCTCGGATTACAAGAGTGACAAATATTTAGGGATGGAGGAGTATAAAATTGTTATATATGGAGTATATAAAAATAATCACCACTTCCACCATTATTCCACTTTGATTTATTGATCACAACATTATTGTCATTTTTCAAACCTATTTAAGTTTATAGCTCTAAGTTTCAACATGTCTCATTTTTTTGTTGGAATTAATTAATTAAATTAGAAATTAATCAACTTAACATTTAGAAATTAATCAACTTAACATTTTTGGGAATATGATCATTTGTTTCAATATATTTTATTAGTTCCCAAATAATTGTAACACTTAACATTATTATACGGAATAATATTTGTACTTCTTTTTTAAAAAAAAGAAAGCGTGTGGGGTGGGGGTTACATCAATTTAATGGAATTAGATAATAATAATAAATTAATTTCTACACTTTTTTCTTTTTTTAAATAACACACGGGTAGAAATTAATTGGCTGTACTCGTTTTTTATTTATTATTCCGTACGTTAACTTTGCTTACTCACTCGGTATCGCCCCCCTAGAAGTAACTTCGAAGGTAGTGAAATTGGATATTTTCTCTCAAGTTATCTTCTTTGATTAAAATTATTTTTTATTTAATATTCCATAATATTTTTTAAGTATAAGGTGAAATGAAAAAATACATATACTTAATTATGACATCAAAAAATGTGATCTGACTATATTATTTTATAAAATAAGATAAGTAACAAAAATAATTAAAGAAATTGAATAAAACTTGGTCGTGTGAATTGTGAACAAGCACTGCTTCGTATAAATCTGGATGAAATAAGTAAATATAGTTTGATTTTTTGGGTCAAACTGTGACACTCTTTAAACATGAATAAAATGTAGTTTAAAATAATTAAATATTATAAAATTTTGATATTTCAAGACTATATTTTAAAATAAAACCGATTTTACTAAATTTATATTATAACTAGATATATTTTCTCCATAATTTAGGGTCAAAGAGTGTCTCATCAAAAAACTCAAATTGTGTCAATCTTATAGGGACAAAGGTAATATTTTCGTATATACATGATTCCGGTGCGGGGTGGATACGGTACGGTTCCGGTCTGATTCCGATGCCGCCACCGCATGAAACCGTCACCGATCCCAGTGCTCACGGTGCCGGCGCCGTTACCCGCACCGGCGTTCCGACACCGTACCGAGCTGGTTCGTTCCGCCTTCAATTTTTTTAATTTTTTTTTTGTGATGAGATAAATTATTTTTCAAAATATAAAATGGCATAAATTTTCCGCCTTCAAGTGTTTAACTCGTGATGCAGAAAATTTAATGGCATAAAATAGAAAGGAAAAAAAAACAAAACTTGAAACGATGATTAAGGACTTGATTTTGGAACAATAAAATGAAAAGAAACACATACCAATCAATTATTGCCCTCTAAACTTAAAACCATGAGACATTAAGTCGTTAACTAAATCATCATTTTGACTAATCTTTAATTTGACCTTCAAACGATGATTAAGGACTTGATTTTGGAACTCCATCATCATGATGAGATCGTGCAGTGAGTCACCCACACAAAAACAAATTATCATATTGACATTTAATTTGATCCAAAAAAAATGGAATCATGTAAATACAAAAAATATTCCCTCTGTTCTTATAAAACTGTCATAATTTGATTTTTTGGTTAAACTGTGTTATGTTTTGACCCTAAATTATGGAGAAAATATATCTAGTTATAATATAAATTTAGTAAAGTATAGTATTGAAATATCAAAATTTTATAATATTTAACTATTTTAAACTATATTTAATTCATGGTTAAAATATAGTTTTGAAATATCAAAATTGTATAACATTTAACTATTTTAAATACAACAACAACAACAACAACTCAGGTGAATCCCAGAACAGTAGGGTCTGGGGAGGGTGTGTGTACGCAGACCTTGCCCCTACTCGGAAGTAGGGAGGCTGTTTCCAAGAGACCCCTGGCTCCACCTGCACAAAAACATTTAACTATTTTAAATAATATTTGAAAAATAACTTTCATTTTAACTTTTGGTAAATTTAAAGAGTGTATTTTATAGTAGACTTTTAAATTTTGTCGTCATTTTAATATAACTGTGATTAGATCAAATTAGATTAGAACCAATCACAAGTTGAATTGAAGAAAACAAAGTCCTCTAGTTTGTTACTTTTGCTTTTGGTTTGTTTTTTTCTTAGTTTTTATTCACGAGTCTTTCAAAAAACCATTTTTATACTGCTTAAATAATTAAGGAATTCAAGGAATAAAATTAAAATAAAAAAACTTAAAAAGTTGCGCATAATATGATTTTTTTATTAAAGTTATGCCATATTATACTGAAATGTTTCAATCAAATAAGGTCATGTTTTCCTCAACTTATTTTTTACTTATTACTTATTTTTATCGGAATCAGATGAGACCAAAAAGAGTTTTAAATATAATTACATTTAAATCATAACTTATTTCAATTAGATCAGATTCATTCAGATCAGGTGAATAGAACATAGCCTGAGTCAATAAGACGTAAATTTCAAAAATGAGTATGAAATGTTCTCTATATATAAAACACCACAAAAGAATCAATTCAAACATGCATTCAAATAATTCAATGAAAAAATTACTCCTTCCGTTACACAAAACCCTTCCGGTTTGACTTTGGGGAAAAATAAGGAAAGTATAACTTTGGTTGACTTTTCAATTTTGCCCCTGATGTGATAGGAAAAAGAAAAATGTGATAGCTTGGTTATTAGTGGAAAAGTATTGTGGAAGGAGGGAGTATACCATAGAAAAATATAATTTAGGGAGTATATCATTATTCAGTTTACTTATCACATTATAAATATATCACTTTCAGATTTTAATGAGCTAAGTGTTTTCAACAATTGTAGTTGGACACTTGGCAACATCTTTTAAGACCGGGGTCACTTTTCGTTTATTAGCTACGGACCCTCTTTTGATTTATGAATTCTTTTCCACTAATATTACTCTTTTTGTCTCCTATCTTTCTTTTAATTTGATTTTTTATCATTAATATTTTTATCTTTGTACAAATATAGATTACAA